AGCTCTGCGGGATTGCCTATGCGACCTTCCGCAGGAGCCTGGTGGCTATGCCGTCCCGTTGGACGCGCGAGCTCTGCGGGATTGCCTATGGGACCATCCGCAGGCGCCTGGATGATAGAGCTAGGCTTGGGAAGCCTTCCTTCACCCAAGGCGACGATTCTGGGCATTGAGTATTGGATAGAGCACTCCTGACGCATCGAAGACGAGTGTCTTGTTGTGGCCGGGGCTATGTTTGATCCGGATTACAGCAGCTGTGGCGAGAACCCTCCCAAAGAACCGAAAATCCCAAAATCCATCGGGAATGCTGTGGAATGTGGAGAGTTATAAGTATGGCATCATAATTGTTTTAAACTGGAAAATTTAGTGTAACTTTCCTCAAAATTATGTGTGCAGACTGTAATTTATGAACTTTTTTATATGTTAGTCTTTACTTTATTAGTTTAGATACAAGAAATGTTGACAATTTTCAAATGAGTTTTATAAGTAAATGTCATTAGTGTGGGTACCTATATATAATCTGAGACTGCATTCAGATTCAGCTGACTTTATTCATCCAATATGTTTCCGGAGCTATGGTGACTTGACTGGCTTTGTTGAACCAGTGGATTCATCTCTCTATTGAAAGGATTATCAGCCTCCAAACTGGCCTCAGCTTTTTCGTCATATGCATCGCTCCCTCTTTGGTCTTGGAACTCTTCCTCTCTTTCATCACCTTCCTCCTCCGCCACTTCACTGCTTAATATAGTGCTGTCTGTATCGGACAAAATAATATAAATCCAAAAGTTTGATTGTTCTTCACCAGAAATCTTAACACTGCAGGCTGTACATGCCTCTGCCTTTTTCTTGAGCCTGAACCTCCATCAACAATATTAAATCATCAGGACGAGAAGCCAACATTTCTTCAAATTCATCTCTTTGCAGATCTAGAAACCTATTGATTTCAAGAACCCTTGCACGACTTCGAGCCACTTCTCTCCTTCAAGACAAATACATATGTATTCGTAATACAAATCCAGGAAAAAAAATAAATACATATATATATATATAGAGAGAGAGAGAGAGAGAGAGAGAGAGAGAGAAAAAATAATTATGAAACTTACTTTTGTAGGTTCTCACACACTTCTTCATGCCAAGCTTTAATTCTAGTCATCAGAATATCTTCTCTGGTGTCAATCACGAGTAAATGTTTTTCATGTGAATTGGCTAATGCATTGCTCAAACTCTCTTTGTCAATCATAATCTAAAATTAAAGTATAATTTTATGATCTGGTGTGAGTAGAGCGTAGTCATCTATTAAATTGTGCACACACCTCTCGCAACTGAGATGAAATGCTGGCAGCATCATCAGAGTCCAAAGCAATCACAGTTTGATATCGGTGTGACGCCTCTGTAAGCTGCTCATTGAATGATTCTTGCAATGAGCGCATAGCAACAAAGTAACCAAGAGCTTGTTCAAGCATAACGTTGACCATATCACTCATGTCTCGCTCTAACATAGAATTCACTTCCTAACAATAAAAATGCCAAACATATGGTAAAATCAAAATTATTTCTAACTTGCATGTTGTTAATAAAAACCCAATAAAGTTGTGATTACCTCCATTTGCTCTGTGAGTGATAGTTCATTGTGCATCAATATTCGCCAAGTATTTTGAATCAAGTCATCAAACTCAGCTACACAGTTTGAGATTACCATGGCAGATTCAGCTATTATTTCAGATCTGTTGTCACTCTCGCCATCATCTTCAGCTGAAGAGAGGAAGTTTAACATTTGGCCGACCTGGTAATCAACATTATTTTCTATAAACATAAATTTATTTAAATAATGCATATACTTTTATTTTAAAGCAAAGGTACACAGATATCTCACTTGGTCTTTGATATTCTTCTGTTGTTCAACAAATGCCTCAAGGATTCTAAAGTAAAAATAGTTGGAAATCTTTTAGAATAATAAACATTTCAGAACAAACACTAACTTTTGAAAATATGAAAAAAATAACAAATACTTTTGACTTTCTTGCTGGCTTTTCAATTTGGCTTCATTCACACAGTTAGTAAAATCATCATGTTCTTTTTTTCGGAGGACGTGTTGTTCCTGGCCCATTTGAAACAGTTCTCGACAGAGAGCTGTCATTTCTTCACAAAATCTGAGCAATTATGGTTAAGAAAAAAAAGGTGAATCTTGCCAAGGACACCATGTGATATAGAAGGATACGTTTCATAAAACTCTTTTGTTTCTTCACTTATCTTAACAAGAGTCTGGCCATCCGTGTCATTTTCAAACATTGCTTGAAAGAGCTGATTGCTGTTTAAACGTTCAACAAATGCAACCGAATGTAACTCAATTTCGGCAGCCTCCTGCTCTGCACTCAATTTCTCCGCGAGGTGCTTCTCTTCTTCTGATTGCAAGGAAGATAGTTCCTCCCTGACAATATGAAAACACAATAAGAAGGGTATTTCACCTTTTGCTGTTCAATTCAAAATGTATCTCACCGGAATATTTCTTTAGCTAATTCTTTGTCTTTCTTGCTTATCATTGTGTATTCAAAGAATACAAGATCAGGAAGAAATGCATACACATAGTCAACAAATTTCTCTTTTCCACACATCGGATTCCCAGCCAAATTTAAGGACTTAAGTTTCCTAAAACGGCGCAGATATAAAATCTGAAAAACAAAGTGGTTAAAATCAGAATCTTTTTAAAAATATTTTGAATTGAAGCCATATGAAGAATGCCTCATAAATCTTGATACATACTGTGCTCTCACAATCCTCTATATGATTCAGTCCTAAGCTAAGAAGTGTTAGGCTCTTCTGGTTCTCTAGATTTTCTAGACATGAAATATGATTTTGGTACAGGTGCAGAATCTGCATAAAAGTATTTATAGAGGAAAGTTAAATGGTTCTTGAAATAACAAACTTGAGCTTGAGTCAAATTTCCTGAAACGTTTTGTTTATTACCTCCAGCTTGGAAAGCTCCTCTAAATTTTCAATAACCTGAATATGGTTGAAGGACAGGTCCAATTCTTTTAAATGTATCAAAGTATGCAGGTTGTCAATGCTTTCAATAGAGTTATTGTTAAGCTGCAATTTTGTGAGGTTTGGTAGTACCCATAAATGATCAATTTTTAATATTCCTACAATAAAGCAAAAGAATTTAGATGACATCAGAAAACTGGTGTGGCATCAAAGAGTCCCTGGAAAAAATGTTAAAGGGGCAGAGTGGCAGTTAAGGGGCAAATAATTATTTTGCTATGTAATTATACCACAACTCGACCGCCTTGTATTAAATATATACTACACAATTTTAATTGTCCCCTTGTACGAGCTTGCTCATGGGATCTTTAGGCGGCACCTTTGCCACTTAGGTAAGTGGCACTTAAATGGATTGTGTCCCTTTAAAGTGCATTAATTGAAATGAAGCAAGTGGCAAGGATCTGAAGTTGCAAAGCTGTTGAAATTCTACACTATGTTGAAACTGCCATCCTGCTCTGTTGTGTAAGTTCCACAAGTTCCCAGTAGAGACTCGTAGATCCTACTTTACAAGAAGGACAAATGTCTACACTCATCGCCTCTGAAACAAGCAGTTGTCTTGGTAGTGTCGAGACTATGGCTTTGTTGGCATGGTGTGATTCATCAATGAGAGCTAACTTTCTACTCCAGTGTCACTCTAATGCCACTGAAAATACAACTTTAAATGTGCACTTTTTCACACCTTGATGAGCTTCTGTGCTAATGCCTTGATATTCACCGCTTACTCCTTCGGAAACACTCTAAAGTCCTATCAGTGCCACTTAAAAAAATGGAACTTACATTTCCATTTGTATAACACTTAAATGCCACCCGGGCTCTCTGACACTTAGGTACCACTTACTTGCCCCTTAACTGCCACTTTGTCTCCTAATTTTTTCTCCAGGAGTAAATGATGAACACTGTAATTAATGATAAAGTATACTTAGATATTCTAGCCGTAGAGCTGTCACATCCCCTAAATCTATGCCTTCTTCTTGTGCCACTCTGCCCGCCTCTCCTTTAGGCCCTTGTTCATACACATGTTTGTTTATCATGTCCATATCAATTACACCAGGTAAAAGATGTTCATGAACTCGAGCAAGTTTTGCAATCTTTTCTTCTAGCTTCAACCTCTCCAACCTACGAGTCACTGACATATTGCTTAGATTTAATTCTAATGAAAAAACTTTGATTGATTATCACCCAAGTTATTCTTAACCAACAGAGAAAAACATGAAATATGGTTTCTTAGGACAGATAGGAATACTTCCATTTGTAAACAAAACATGTTACCGCTGTTACCGCTTCAACCAATCCGCGGCAATGCGCAGACGAACCGGAAGACGAGCCGAAGCCGTACCGAACCTAGCCCGAGCCACACCGAACCGAGCGTTGACCCGATTGGTGGGGAGCGTACGCTGGGGGGGTGGTGGAATGGGTAGGGGTTGGGAAAAGGGGGTAGGGAGGGGGTGAGAGCTTTGGGGAAAAGAATTTGTCACTCGAAAAGAATCTGTCTCTTAGTTTCTTCACCGATCAAACTGAATGATGGTATCCTTGATCATTTTCCTACTAAACATGAAATATTTATTTCGTTTGACACGCCAAATGTATACCTACCAATTAGGAGACTGATCTACGTTGACCTTTGACCTACATTCCTTGGGGACAGTAAAGGCAGAGAGGTGGTGGGTACAACATGGCCTGTATCGAAGGCAGCTTCATCGTTCTCATTCCATGTCATGAGTTGCATTAATTTATGTTGCGGCGAGAAGAACGGCATTGAGAAACACTTTGAGGCAAATATCCGTCTTCTTTATAATGATATTGTATAAGTGCAGAGTGATATGACTATTCTTAGCATAATGGGAGGTTGAGGTCAAGTCCGTTGGTTGCTGGAGAATTTAGTTTCTTTCCGGATTACTGAAAATTGTTTTAAAATTATCAACCGATTCAGAAGCGCAATTTTCGATAAGGTATGTGTCTATTTCAGATACCTTTGCTTCGGCTCAAGATTGATAGGCTAACTTTTGAGCTCCAATCCTCGCGGCGGTTGTTCTCGATATTTCCTACTCGCGCTGTGGCAGGCAGGGATATTTGCTTTGAATTTCCAGATTTCAATTAGGTAATTACGGTGGCAATTGCAATGTAATATTTTTATATTGAGCGCCGTCACACTTGTTTTCTGATTGTGCATCGGTGACGGTACATGTCGTCTGCTAAGAGTTTGTCGTCTGCTGGAGTTTCTGGGTCTGGGGTTGGCTAGGTCCGGGTACCATCCTCTCGAGGAATTATTTCACATTTTCCCTTTCTTTCCAAAACATAGATTATTTTAGAACTTACTTCAAAATTAAATACTTTCAAAGTAAATTTTTATAACTATTTACTGAACCATAACTGTAACCTAGTTGTTGTTGATATTTATGAAAATATTTTGCTTGATCATAAAAATGCTTAAATTTGTGATTGGAATTTGTTTAGTATAGTTTTAACCATTTTGCCAAACTCCCACCTAATTATCTATTTGCCCGTTTTGATTTCAGACTTTAGAAAGCGACAGTATGCTTGGCCAAACCCTGCAGAAATCAACAATTGCCGGCAGCACTGGAAGTGGAGGGTTTTCATGTGCAGGAGAAACTGGTAGTACAGTTGGATCGTCAGGAACTACTATTGCCTCCGTCATGGATAGCCAAACGCGAAATCCTCTGTTATGCTTTGTTTGTGACAACTACTACAGTGAACCATGTCTTCTTGTTTGCTATCATACCTTCTGTGCCAAATGTTTGCAAGGGAGGGAAGCAGAGCGAAAAATAACATGTCCACTCTGTGGGTAAGTGCCCATTCATACTGTTCGATTGGCTGAAGATGATCCCATACCTTGTGACCTCTCATTTCTGTTCCAATATTGCCTCAAGTTTATATTTTTCAATTTCAGTGTTCAAACAGCGTTAAAAGATGGTCAAGCACACCCTGCTCCTGACATGTTAATGCGGCATTTGATAGAACTTGCGAATGCTGAAAATCCTCCGTGTGCCAATTGTGACAAGCGGGACAAGAATAACATGTATTTCTGTATCACCTGTGGTATGTTTTCTAGTACATCTGAATATTCATCATTTCCTATCTTCTTTAAAGAATTTAGTTACAGTAGTGTTGAATTAGGTTTTCTACTTTCTTTTGATTTTGTCTGTTTTTCTGCATGTTTCTTTTTCTATACTATGATTTTGCTTTGTTAGCCATAGCTGAGCATGACACTTTTGTTTTCCTCAGGAGGGTGAACCATTAGTGGATGCTTTCTTTTACATTCTTGGGGACCCTTCAGGGTAACCATACATTGTAAGGCAAATAGTTGTGGTTGGTATGTTTTCATTGAATTTTTCTTTATCAGTTGTTTTTTTAAAAATTGGGATATAATAATAATTAATCTTGTTTTATTCAATCAATTATATTTATCTGATAAAATTTAAACATTGAAGGTTTTAACCTTTCCAAATGTGCTTCCTGTGTTTTAGGGCAAGCATTATGCACAAGTTGCCGGGAAAACACTCACCGAGCTAAAATGTTTTCTGCACATGAAGTTGTGCACATGTCCAAGTGCAGTAAAGAATCATATCGTAAAGTAAGTGCTTTCATATTCCATTCTTTATCTCTCCTACTTAGTCTTCATTTTTAGAAAATTGGTTTTAAAATGTCCATTGTGTTTCATGTTTTATAAATTTCCAGCAATGCACACAGCATGGAGAACAACATGTTATGTTCTCAAACAGTCAACGTTCGATGCTCTGTGAGTCATGCTTTCAAGACATTCCAACAGAGTCCAAAGTGCACTGTATTGATATTGACACGGCATATAATCAAGGATGTAAGAAATTGGAACGGGCTATTCATGTAAGTTTGACACCATTCGGTGTTTTTATCAATGTTGACTTTATTTCCATCATTAATATCAAAAATTCTTTTACTTCTTTGATAGACTGTTCAAAGTATGCAGTCGTCAGTCAGAGATGGTCTATTAATGTTCAAAAATCTCCTGGATGAGCTCAGGCGTAACATGGAAACAGAGAAGGTCACAATAAATTCTTTCTGTGAGGGTATGAGACAAGCTATTGCTAAAACACAATCAGCAATGATGCTAGAGATTCAAAGGTATGTTGGCCTGAGCTAATTGTTTGTAAACACCAATATTCATGATTTTTATATCTTAATTTCTGGCTGGGAAAAAAAACAAAAAAAAACAATTTAATTGTTCTTGAGTTATTATTTTTTCTGATTTGCAGGCAGTTTGAAAGCAAAGAACGACTCTTCCATGGGCAGCTCACAAATTTAGGTTCTATGTTGCCCTTACTGCAATTACATCTTTTGCTTGCTCAAACTTTCTCTTTGGCTGCCAATAAATATCAGTTCCTCGATCTGGCATACCCCATGGTGGATAGACTTAATGCAGTATCTCAACTATCACTACCTTTGAGGTGATGAAATGAAAAACGAGGGGGAGGGGGTGTACTTTACCTTTTGGTAGAGACAGTCTGAGAAACTGTCTTAATATTCCTTAAATAATGTCTTAAGGCCTAGAATTAAAAATTCCATTTCTTCATTGACACTCTTTTTTTGCAGCCGCCCTGTGCAATCTAGCCAGATTCGAACCAATTTTCGATCAGAATTTTCTCGAGCTCTGGAACCTTGGGTTGGAAACCAACCCTGTGAAGGGGGACGTCCAAGATCTGGAGTGGGTATTTATGAATCTCACAAACAGCAGCAACAACAACAACACCAACAACAACAACAACAGCAGCAACAACAACAGCAGCAGCAGCAGCAACAACAGCAGCAACAACAGCAGCAGCAGCAGCAACAGCAACAGCAGCAGTCACATTTGCAATACCTTCAGCAACAGCAACAAATTCACCAGCAGCTTCAACAGCAGCAACAATCATCATACCCTATGCCCCAACCAACTCCATCACGACGTCAGCAGTCTTCTATGCCTATGAAAGGTTCAGAAGAGACAGGACCATTTTCTAACCATTGCCGTAATTTTGATTCACAGTTAAAGGTTTGTTGTACTAGCTCAGTATTGGAGATTGTCGTTTGAAGCATCCCATGAATTTTTGTTAACTGGTAGTTAAATATGTAATTTCTCATAAAAATACCTAATAATTTTAATATACTTAT